CATCTGCAGAATGGGAATAATAATACCTTCTTCATAGGAAATAGAGGTTAAATGTGACAAAGAGTTGAGCACGGTGCCGGGCACACAGAGTCCTCGCTAAATGGCAGGGGCTGCTGTGGAGTGGTGCAGACCTGGGCCATTCCAAGGCGCAGGGCCTTGACAGAGAAAAGGTCGAGGTGGGACATGATGGGCCACCAAAGAAAGAAAAGGCCGGGAGGGAAGAGACTGCCCCTTTTCTCTCCTTTCTATAAGGGCCACTGTTGCCTCTTTGGGCAGGGAAACTAGGAAATCTGAGCCAGGCCTCTTTCCATCTCCCTGGCTTCCCCGTGGGGAGACGACCCTAAATCTTTCAGCCTCCGAGCTGGGATGCGTCAGTGCCTGGAGCTGGTGGAGGGAGGGCTCCCCCGTCTGCCCCCTGTGCCCTGCCCAGAGCTGAGAGGCAAAGCCCACAGGGGCTCCACGAACAAGCACTGAGCATGGGTAATGGGCAGCCAGGAGGGCTCCGCGGACCCCCTCCCCCCGCACAGGGTGTAGGGCTCCGGAACCCCCTCCTCAAGCTGCCGGGAGAGCATGAAGCTGCTCCCGACTCAGAACCAGGATGACAGGCCCAAAGCCCTTCCCCAGCAGGTGGGCGCCTGGTCGCGACGACAGATGGCAGAAATTTTTCTAAGTTTATGGGTCCTAAAAGGTCAGGCCCTTTGGTGGCAAAAGTTTTAGAGGCCAGTAAAATTTACCGGAGGAGATGGGAGACAGGACTGTAAGCCAAACGCTGCAGCCAGGAATCTAAGGGATCCCAGCTCCAGCCCTAACGGGCTGTGGGAAAGGAGGCAAGTCGCGGGGGCTCTCTGGGCTCTGTGTTTTAACCTGGAAAACGGGAGCAAGCTCCGTGGCAAGGGGCAGGACGGTGTGTGCACCCGCATGTGCCGCCTGACTGCGCCGAGTCCCAGAGCACTCCATAGGATTTAGACCCGGGCTGTGTGATTCTGGAAAGCACCAAGCACGGGCGAGAGTACCGCCCTCCCGGGCACACGCTGTTGGAAGCAGCTGGACACCACGCCCGGGCACAGGCCTGCGGGCCCCGCATCCTCAGGGCCTTCATTACCCACCCCGGGCCGCTGCCGTCTGCGTGTCTGCCTCCGTTCCCCGGAGGAGCCCGGCCGTCTGCAGGCAGGGCTCCGGAATCAAATTAGCCGGGCCTCTGCTTTTCCCTCGTCCCCACCGGCCAAGGCGAGTTCATCAAGGCCGAGCACTAATTTTTATCTTGTTTAAAAGGCACAAAAGTGACTCCACCGTTTCGTCGGAGGCAATTGACACCCCGCCACCGGCGACAGCTCCAGCTACGCCCTCTCTTGCTGTGCCATCAAATCCATTAATAGGAAATTTCTTCGGGGGAAACTTGACTGATGCTCTATCAGAGAGGCACAGAGGCAATACATCTGTATTCGAGGCCGTGGCCTGCCCGGCTCGCGATAATCCTATTACCTAAGAGGCTAATTCTCTAATGCACACACTGTACCGAGACATGCTCTTCCCTCCCCGGCACAGCTGGGCAGCCCCGGAGGATTCCAGAGCTCAGAGCACAAATGAAGGCTTGGTGCTCAGAGGACAGGGTCTCCTGGCTTTCTGCCCCCCGGCCCGGGGCCTGGCACGCGGCCTTGGCCGGCCCTCCATTCCACGCAGCCACATTCAGGCCACCCCAGCTCCCCGGCTCCACCTCTCGCGCGGCCTTCTTTTTATTTTCCTCTTCTTTTTTTCCTCCTTGCCTTTGATTCCTGCCTGCCTTGTGTTCTCAGTTTCCTGCCAGTGTTTTATTTGCTCATCTTCCTTTTTTCTTCTTCCTTTTATTGTTGCCTCCTCTCCTTTCTCCTTGTCCAGGTCCCTCTTTTCCGGGAGCTGTACCTTCGGTTTCTTGGCACCGCCTTCTAGCCCCCCTCCCCCCCCACCCATGCCTGCGCGCTGCACCCACACAAATTCAGTGCCTGATGCACCTTCTGGGTGGCTTGGCTCTGTGGAAGGAACGGGCTCCAGACCACGCTGGTCGTGGCTTGGGCCACAGATGAGGGAGTGCCTCGTGGGTACACCCAGGAGCCCCCGGGGGGACAAAATGGGGCATTCGGAGGGAGTGGGTAGAACACGGAGAGGGCAGCTAAGTGTGCTCGTTCTTCAGTGAAGCAGCAGCTATCATGGAAGCCCCAAGTGGGTTACTGCTGAGCACCAAACCCGGAAGGGGCCCTGTCAGTGAATGGTATAATGCTACATGTAGATTTTATAACGCACATAAATAAGAGGAAGCAACCTTCTAGAAGCTTGCAGCGGATTTCTCAGTGACAATGAGAAAGGAGCTTGAGCCTAAGGATCTCTGTGTATCACTCCAGACGCTGGGCTTCAGGATGCATTGAGGAATCCACAGGTGTCCTTCCCAACTTTGCGCCCCTTCAGGACCTCATCCCGGGAGCCTGGGGACAGCCTGGCTCTTTTTGCCTTGTCCTGCTGTCAAGCCTAGATGTACTCATTCCCGGGTGGGGGTGCCTGGCTCTTTAAATTCCCTAGAAGTGTGGGGATGCCTAGTTTCCCCTATTCTACGGCGTGTCCTCATCTCCATTCCTCCAAAAGGAATTCCTGGAGATGATGTTCCTTGTTTTGTCTGGAACAGTGAGCAAGCACATGACTTCAGAGAAGGGTAGCCCGATCTCCTTGAGCTCGACCAAACATTCCAGGACCAAACTCTGGCTAACAGCCATCTGAAGGGGCTCCATCCGTGAATGTTAAACGCTAAATGCAGATTTCGTCATGCACACGAATAAGGAGGGAAATCCAGACCAAACCAAGGAGGACTCGTCCCTGACCAAGGTGATTTTTTTTTTTTTAACAATGACAATTGAGAAAATTCTTCCTTCCCAGTGTTCCCAGCCTATGCCACCCTTAAATCCAACTGGAAACGGAATTAAAAGGAATAAAAATCTTTTGTGGTTGAAGTTTGCCATGATTTGATACTGGTGCATTTTGCTTTCCATGCACTTGAGGCAAAACAATCCACTTCTACCCAAATGGTAAAGTGGGAGTGAGATTCAGTCAAACAGAGTTTCACAGCCACACTCAGACAATTTTGTTGGCACACAACTGGGTGTCTGGGGGATAGAACCTTTCCTATTCAACTGAAAAAGGAAAAAGAAACACTTCTTTTAAGAAAACAAAAGGAGGGGCGCCTGGGTGACTCAGTCGGTTAAGCAGCCAGCTTCGCTCAGGTCATGATCTCCTGGTTCGTGGGTTCGAGCCCCGCGTCGGGCTCTGTGCTGACAGCCAGCTCGGAGCCTGGAGCCTGCTTCAAATTCTGTGTCTCCCTGTCTCTCTGCCCCTCCCCTGCTCATGACCTGTCTCTCTGTCTCTCAAAAATAAATAATCATTTTTTAAAAATTAATGAAAACAAAAGGAAAGTACACCTGGGTGGCTCAGTTGGTTGAGCGTCTGACATCAGCTCCAGTCAAAATCTTATGGTTTGTGAGTTCAAGCTCCGCATCGGCCTCACTGCTGTCAGTGCAAAGCCTGCTTCGGACCTTCTGTTCCCCTCTTCCCCTCCCCTGCCCATGCTCTCTCTCTCAAAAATAAATAAACATTAAAAAATTCTTAAAAGGAAAGTATTGAGAATGTTCAGGAAATGGTATTAATAAGAAAAGGAAGGGATAGGATGCAAAATTATATGTACGGTGGATTTACTTCATTGTACACATCTTATAACAGAAAATTATAGAGAAATATATATCAAAATATTAACAGAGGCTGTCTTGGGGTAGTGAATAAGCCCATGGATGATTTTAATGTTTCTTCACATTTTTCTATAATAAGCATGTGTTATTGTATTCCCTTTTTTTAAAAAAAATTTTAATTTTTACTTATTTTTGAGAGAGAGACAGAGCACAGGTGGGGAAGGGATAGAGAGAGAGGGAGATCCAGAATCCAAAGCAGGCTCCTGGCTCCGAGCTGTCAGCACAGAGCCCCATGTGGGGCTCAAACCCACGAACTATGAGATCATGACCTGAGCTGAAGTTAGATGTTTAACCGACTAAGCCACCCAGGTGCCTTTATTATATTTTCATAATACATATTATGGGGGTTCCTGGGTGGCTCAGTCAGTTAAGCATCCGACTCTTGATTCTGGCTCAGGTCATGATCTCATGGGTCACAGGTTCAAGCCCTGCATTGAGCTCTGCACTGTCAGTGCTCAGAGCCTGCTTGGGATTTTCTCTCTCTTCCTCTCTCTCTGTCCCCCTCCTCCCTGTGCTCTCTCTCTCTCAAAAATAAACTTAATAATAATACATATATATAATGTATGTTGTTATATATATTATATATAAATATATTTGCTTAGTATAAATTACATATACAGGTTACTACTTAAATATTTAAATTTAAATATTTCATTGAGAAAAATAAATAAATGTTTTGATGAGATCAAAAGGGCAGAGGTAAACACACGCCCGGCCCCTGCTTAGGAGATGGAGTGAAGGACCGGCCCCCCTGCACCTGCCTCACTGCCCCCCCCCCCACGCCCCAGTCCCAAGCGCACCAGACATGGGACATAAATGAAGGGAGCAGCCCAGGGCCTCTCCCAGCACACAGGCTGCACCCTTGCTCCAGGAGCCCCTGCAGTGCCCTCCACTCCCACCTCGAGTTACTCCCTGGGGCACTTGGCCCCCGGCCACCTGGCTGGAGGGGCAGCCGAGTCTTGCCCTGTGACATCAGCGGGGCGGGCTCCCCTCTCACTGGCTCCCATTCCCTCCCTCCCGCCCCGAAACCTGATGCGGCTGAAGGACTGATTGCAGAAAACTTGGCGACTGCCCAGCGCTGGTGGCCCTGGCCGTGTGCGGCTGCAGCTGGGAAGGTGTGGAAGGCGGCCTGGGGAGGCGGGCCGGCCGGGACCTGAGGCCGGCGCGGCGTGGGCAGGCTGCCTCTCCCCTTGTCCTGCCCTGAGACCACTCCAAGGCACCCCATCCCCGGAGAGTCACCATGCTGTTGTGGGCGCCGCGGGTCCTGCTGGCCTTGCTTCTGCCCGCGTTCCTGGCACAGGGACAAGGTAAGGGGACGGTGACTTGCCTGGCCACCTGCAGAGTGGGGTGGGGGACGTTTGATTCCCCCAGGGGTTGAGGGAGGGAGGGTTTCAGAGGGGGTGCCGCTTCGGGAAAGTCAGGGACCTGGCCACATCCAAGCACGAGAATTTGAAGGCACTGTGGCCCCGATCAAAAGTACGGGCGGTGGGGTGCCAGGCGGGGCAGGGCTTGCAGAGGGGGGCTCCTCTCTTCTTTGCTCTGTCCCCAAACTCTCAGAATGGAGGCTGCAAGGGACCTTGGACTTCATCTGGTCTGCCCCTTCTCGTTGTAAATGGGAATGCCGTGGTCCAGAGAGGGGGAATAAGTCACTCATGGTCACACAGCACATTAGCCAGACTGGAGACCAGAACCAACCTCAGCTCCACTGGCCTTGTTTGAGGCGTGGGCTCCCTGGGCCTCCGTTCCTCAAGCTCCCTTCCAGAGCTAGACTCCAGCGACCCCAAACTTCTCTGCATTCCCCTACCCTTTCCTCCTGCTTTTCTGGGAGACGAGGTGTTTGGGTCCAACCGGATTCGTTTCCATTTGCCACCGACAATATTTATTCCCTGTTTCGGAACGTTTTCTCCCCATGCAGGGCTAGGTTGGGGAGGGTTAGGGTGTCATCCTGGGGCTGAACAGGTAGGAAGAGCTTATGTGCACACTGGCTTTCCTCCCTTGAGCCGTCCCTGGGGAAGCCCGGCTGCGTGGTCAGGCCGTGGCCTGGGGCTTTCTTGGCTGAGAAGAATCACTGTCCAATCTGGCTGCCTTCACACCGGCCCGATTCCCAGCACCGGGATCAGAGCTGATGCTGGTGTGGAGACACACAGAGATTTGGATCTGAATCTCATTTCCCCTGCTTGTAACCACAGTCCCCGCCTCTCTGAGCCTCGGGATCCTCACGACAGCCACCCCGGGGGGCTGCTCGAAGGTGGAAATGAAGACTGTGTGTTAACTGCTCTTATTTCACAATAAGACAACCAATACATGGTCTCTTGTCCTGACCCTCTCTCTGCTCCTCTCTGTCCTTCCGAGGGAAGCAGGAAGTTTATCGGGGACAGGTGGGCCTTCACCTTCTTTTCCTTGGCACCTTTCAGGAAATGCTTCCACTGTTTCCCAGCGGGATAACAGGTGCACGTGAAATCCCCATAGAATGGGCGGAGGGCCTCAGAGTTGGCTTTTCTCATCGCTGTTCTGTCCTCCTGGGCCCCCTGCTCTGGGAGCAATTCAGTTTCTCCCCGCCTCCTGGGCCCTTACATCTAACCCTCTTCCCAACCGATCTGCCAATCACCAACCCCCTGAAGGAGGCCTGGCCGACGGGCCCCCAGGAGCTGGTGCGTGTGAGGCTCAGAGGGGAGGATTTCGCAGGAAGGAGTGGCAGTTTCCACGGGATGCCTCCTTTCTTTCTTTGTTAACAGGAGGCTGGGGGCAAGGAGGGGACCAGGATCTAGGCAGACGCTGCGTTCTGCCCTTGACTGAGGCAAACCTTCATGCGGACCTTTGGGCTTAGAGATTGTATACTTGGGGTCGCCTCCCCTTGCAGCCCCCTCTCGTTCAGTACCCGTCCCGAGGGCCGCTCCTCCTTAGCTCCCCGGCCTCCTTCCTCCGTCTCCTGCAGACCCACCTCCTCTGGGCAGGTACCTGTGCTCAACCTCTCTCAGCCCTTGGCCCCCTTAGACCTCACCTGTCTTACATCACCTGCATTTACAGCCCAGCTCCCCTCCCTCACGGGAATGCGCGTGTAGGTTACCCTTAGGAGACAATACCTCCAGGTTTGGCCAAGAATCTCCATGGACAAAACATTCCAGTGATGGGAGCTTCAGTCTGCAGGGGTGCCTGGGACTCTGAGATGGAAAAACGGAGACATTTTGCTTTTAATAGATTTCAAACCAGGGCAAGAGATGGGGGAAGCCTCAGGCTCTGATGCCCCCTGTGCACTGCTCTTCCCAGCCAGGCTCAGGGAGCACCCCGGGGCCCAGAACGCCTCCAGGCCCGCTCTCCTGAGGCTGTCAGATCACCTCCTGGCCAACTACCAGAAGGGCGTGCGGCCCGTGCGGGACTGGAGGAAGCCAACCACCGTGTCCATCGATGTCATTGTCTATGCCATCCTCAGTGTGGTGAGCGCTCGGCCCCGATCTGCCCCGCTCAGGGGTGTGCCTTGCGGGGTGGGAGACCATGTAAGGCCGAGTCGCCCCCTGGGCAGCACAGGGGACAATCAAGTACCCAGAGTATCTGCGATGTGGCACAGACCTGTGTCAGGATGGACAACGGCACCCACGGTCTACACAGCTGCCCAAACCATAAAACCAGTGTGGCTGCCTCTCCCAACCCGTGTTCCCAGAGGGCCACTTACCACATGCAGTTCCTCACGCCTTGTGTCATGGTGACCGGCTCCCCACATAAGCTGTCCTGTTCATCTGTCCTGCTCATTTCTCGGCCCTTGGAGTCTTACACGGGCCCCTGATTCATGGCAGGTGTTGCTAAATGATTGTTGGACAATTAGTCCTAAACCTATTAATAAATCAATTCCTTCATCAATGTACTGCCCAGCAAGGAGGTCAGACGTTGTGCAGACATAAACAAGAAAGCAATTGCAGAGATGGAGGGCACCAGAGCAAGCGGGGGCCTGACCTCACCGTCTACTGCAATCAGTGTGGCTCTTTGGGGAGGGAAGCTGGGCCCCAGATGAGAATGAGGGACAGGGATGCATTTTTGACTCTGTGTGGTTTTGCATTTCTTGACTGAATATTAGGGCAGGAAGGAGATACAGATATAGATTCACAGGCATACAAATACGGAAAAATATATAGATTGGGGGGCTCAGTCAGTTGAGCATCTGACTCTTGATTTTGGCTCAGGCCATGATCTCACGGTTTGTGGGATCGAGCCCCATGTTGGGCTCCTCACCGACAGCACGAAGCCTGCTTAGGATTCTGTCTCTCTCTCTCTCTGCCCTTGCCCTCTGGTGTGCACATGTGCTCTCTCTCTCTCAAAATAAACAAATAAACATTTAAAAATATATAGATATAATATTTTCTGTATGTTTTCTCTTTTTTAAAAAAGTCTTTATTTTGAGAGAGAGACAGCACAAGCAGGGGAGGGGCAGAGAGAGAGAAAGAGAGAGAATCCCAAGCAGGCTCCACACTGTCAGTACAGAGCCCAACTCGGGGCTCGATCCCACCATCCACGTGATAATGACCTGAGCCAAAATCAAAAGTCAGACACTTAACTGACTGAGCCACCCAGGCACCCGCTGCATGTCTCCTCTTATCTTCTATGTTATGCATACTATGTATGTAAAATATATGTAACCTAGACACATATATATGTATAACATAATACAAAATAGTAGAAGGTGATAGCTGGTTAGATAGATAGATATGAAGTTAAAAAAGAAATGATTGTATTTCTTCCTAGGTGTGTCCTAGTAAAAGACTGACCACCTCTTCCTGGTCGGCCCTTTTCTCTTTTCCTTCACTCTCCCTTCCCAAAGGAATAGGGACACAAAGCAACAGATCCTTTTGGGGTAGGTGTGCAAGATGGACGCCTGCCCACAGGGCACTCACCTGAGCTCCCTTTCCCTTCACAGGATGAGAAGAACCAGGTCCTGACCACCTACATCTGGTACCGGCAGGTGAGCATCCGCCCCCATTTCCTGGGACGGGGGCTTTCCCTTCCAGGAAGGATTCCTCCTTCTAAAGAGTAAGGGCTATAAGAGGCCTTGGCGAGGGGAGGGGAGGGGAGAGGCTCAGAGGCAGACTCAGGAGACCCAGGGCCCCTCTCATCTCAGGACTGGCGCTGGAAGGAAGCTCCACACTCAGTGGAGGAGAAATCCTCCAACCCCCTGGTTTCTGAGAGTTTTCACAGCATCTTAAACAACAACTTATCTGCCTCTGTTGATAAACACCTCCAGTGCCTGGTGCTCAGTGGACAGCTACTGCACTGTCAGACAACTCTAACTGCTAGAAAGTTCTTCCTTCTATTAAGCCAAGGGTGATGACAATCAAATTGGGTGATTGACACAGGGCAGTTCCATCCATGGGGTCCTCACATCCTCGGCCACCTGTCCATTGTCTGAGCTTCTGACAGGCATCACTCAGGCACCGCTGAGAACATCCCTGAGTCTCTGAGGCCTTTGCAGCCCTTCTGGCCAGTTGTTGGGGAGCTGGGGAGGGGGGGGGCTGGGTGGAGAGCTGGCTGGGAGCTTACAGGGAGCTGGGGTGAAGCTGGGGTGAAGTTGGGGGGAGCTGGAGGGGAGCTGGAAGGGAGCTGGGGGGGAACTGGGGGAGAGCTGGGGGGGAGGGCAGGCAAACAGTGAGGCTGCCGTCCATAAGCTGGCCCTGTGCTGGCAGGCTCTGAGCTGCAGGGCAGACGTGAGAGAGGAAGGGAACGAGAGTAGCTGGCGGGAGGGGGTGGGAGGATGGGCCCAGGTCGTAGAGGTCAAAGCTGAGAGGGGCTCTGTCTGGGCACATGCCAGGCATCTGCAGGTCTCTGTTACATCCCTCTGCTGCTCATGGGCGTTCCCCGCTACCACCAGCACATGGGGCAGAGAGTGGGGTGGAGGCAGAAGCCAGATGCTGATTCCTGCCAGACTGCTCTCTTCTGCCCTAGAAAGATCTCAATACGGAGCACGCCCCGCATCAAGGGAAGGGGCGCAGCAGGAAGAGGCAGCCCGGAGCTCCTTTCCTGGGACCTCCAGCTGAGGTCCCACCTCTGGATCTCTAGGGTCACTTGTGTGCCCAGCAGTGATGGGATGCCAACCTACCATGCCAAGGGACCAGAATTAGAGACACGAATGAGATTGGGCCCTGCCCACAGTGAGTCACAGACTGGTGGGGGCCACAGGCACATGAACAGACAGTTGAATGCAGCCAGCTCTCCAGTGTAGCAAGAACAAGATACCAGCCATGGGGGCACAGGGGGGCACACGAAAATCCAGCCTGGGGGGTTGGGGCATGGAAGGTTCCCAGAGACAGGAGCAGACAGGTGCTCTGGCTGAGTCTGGGGGGACACGGAAGACCTGCCTTGGGGGAGGAGACAGGGATTGCGGTGTGGGAGAGCACAGGTATGCAGAGACGTGGGGTGTTTGCACACGGCTGGAGAGTAGAATCCACAGACAGAGGATGACAGAAATCATAAGGCTCGAGAGGGGCGCCTGGGTGGCTTAGTCGGTGGAGCATCAGACTTTGATTCTGGCTTAGGTCATGGTCTCAGAGTTCATGGGTTTGAGCCCTGCGTTGGGCTCTGCACTGTGAGGGATTCTTTCAGACAGAAGGATTCTCTCTCTCTCCCTCTGTCTCTGCCCCTCCTCGACTCGTGCTTTCTCTATCTAAAATAAGTAAATAAACTTAAAAAAGTGATGAAGCTAGAGAGATAGGTGGAGGTCGGATTGTGCAGGCCTTTGCTGGCCGTGAGGTTGAACTCTATCCCTAAAGTGCAAGGGAGTTTTGAGCACAGGGATGACATAATTACATGCACTTTTTAGATCAGTCAAATGGACAGGATGGCGAGGAATGTGTTGATCACAACTTAACAGTAACCATCTCTACCCTGTCATGTGCATATTATTGTCCCAATTTGCATTGAGCAGACCAAGACCCAAGAAGCTCTGTGTTCAAGATCCCAAGTCAGCAGATGGGATAGTCAAACAGGAGAAATGACCCAATGCCTTCCCCGGGGCAAGGCGTCATTTGCCTGGGTCGTATTTGCACGTGGGAGAGTGTGAGCACAGAGGTGGGGGGACTCTCTGTACTGTTGAGGGATTCCCCCAAGAAGATGCCTGTCTGTTGCCTGGGCACTGAGCGGTGAGGTCATCCTGAGGGGCGGCGGCCCGTGACCATCCCCCACCCCTCCCCTAGTACTGGACAGATGAGTTTCTCCAGTGGAACCCTGAGGACTTTGACAACATCACCAAGCTGTCCATCCCCACCGAGAGCATCTGGGTCCCGGACATTCTCATCAACGAGTTGTGAGTGCTGCCATCCAATGCCGGGCGGCCGGGTGGCTCTGGGGCTGGGGGACAAGACTATGCTGTGGCGTGAGAGGTCGCACTCAGGCTCGCAGAACTGTAGGTAAAGTTGGCTTGGGCCCCAATTCCCCTTTGGTTTCTTTCTCTTTCTTTTTCTCCCCTCTTTTCTTTTTAAAACTCCTCTTTTTTCTATGTCTGATGTGGGAACCCTGCACTTCGTGGTCCAAGGGCCCCCTTCCCAGGGAAAGGGAGCCAGGGAATGAATGTGCGCTGTCATAATAACTGAATGAGGGACAGCTGTGTTTTTCAAGGGGCCAGTGAGATTACCGATAGGGATGGAGCCCCAGCACTGGTCCCAGGGGGGATTTGGAGACACTCACACCTCTCCAGTCACATGCTTGCCTGGCTGGCTCCGGACCACGCCCCCAGTGTGAAGTGGGTACCACCATCCTTGATTCCCAGCAGCTGATAGCACCGGGCACCGTGCCCTCCCCCCATCCTTCAGGTCGTTCAGACTCCACTGCCTGGGTTTCTCAAAGCCAGGCCGCGGAAGATGGAAGGAGGAGGTGGCCCAGGGCCAGTTGCCCTCCTCCGGGTACCCACCGCGTTGCCCAATGCCATGGCTGCCACGCGCAGTGCTTTTCAGGGGAGACAGTTGACCTAGAGCCCCACGATCTGCAGACCTCAGGCTGGACGGATCCCAGTTCCTGTCTGGGTCTCCCGGTTAGAGTGTGGAGTAGCCTGGATCTTAGTTTCTCATCTCTCAGCCTGATTCCACAGAAGGCTGTGGGCTCAGGACCCCAAGCTCAGGGTCACTCCGTGCCACAGCGGTCACTCGGGAGAGCCTAGGGGTTGGGGATCTGCTGAGAGAGAGGGAATAAGTCTTGCAGGACTTGCCCACCTCTTCTCTTCATGATTTCTCTAGTTCCTTTTCCTCCAGGGAAGACTGTTCTCACGTCACGGGGCCTCTAGGGATAGGAGGCAAAGAAGCCTGCTGATCTCGGGAGCTGAGCTCTGCCCAGCTGGGTGGGTGGCAGAGTAGGGGCATCTGGGCATGCTGATGACAGCAAGTGGCTCTGAGGCACCCGAATTCCTCACCTGCCTTTTGTAGCCAGGTTGCCAAGGGAATGAAGGAGAAACGCCCTTTCCTGCTTGGAAAGTAGCCTTGACCTTGCAGGTAATCTTGAGCCCCCAAACTGCCCCTCTTCCCTGGCCAGTGTGGACGTGGGGAAGTCTCCAAGCATCCCGTACGTGTATGTCGGGCACCACGGCGAGGTTGAGAACTACAAGCCCCTGCAGGTGGTGACCGCCTGTAGCCTGGACATTTACAACTTCCCCTTCGACGTGCAGAACTGCTCGCTGACCTTCACCAGCTGGCTGCACACCAGTGAGTACCGCACACAGGCTTTGGGAGGCGGGGGTACAGGCTGGAGTGTCCCCGAAACACCTGCTCAAGGAGCGCACCCTAGGAGGCACTCCCCTGTATTCAAGTTACTTACTTACGGGGGCTGTCCACGGTCACCACTCCAGCCTCAGCCCACGCACGTTCCCCTGGGCTCTGCCCCAGCCCAGCTGCCTTCCTTCCCAGTCCCCAAAGCCCCTCGTTCTTTCCCCTTATCTCAGGCTGCTTCCTCTCCTGGGCTACCCTGCCCCCGCCTCCTGCCCCCCGACAACCCTTAGTTCAGTCAAGTCGCCTACTCACCCAATCACAGCACTGGCGTCAGTGCCTTAGGAGACTCCTCTCATCCCCAGACTAGGCGTCCCCCTGGCCCAATTTCATAGCACCCTGATCTTGTCCCCACTTCTATTGCACTTGCAGGTGCTTGCTCAATGTCTGCTCCTCCGTCAGATATAAACCCAGAGAGGGTAGGAGCATGATTTTGGCCCACCATTAGGTCTCCAGTACAGTGCCTGGCACAAAGGAAGGTGCTTGGCAACTTTTATTCAATGGATGAATGCAAGTTTCTCACTAAAGTCTAGCAAAATGACCATCACCTTCCCATAAAAAGATATCTTCCACTTATATTGGATTTCGTCACATTAACTGTAAGTTACAAACGTAATACAGAACTCCCTTGGACAAAAACCAGAACTGCAAATTATCTTTGACTTTTGACCTCTACCTTCAATCCCAAACTCTTCACCAACAACTCCCCACACCAAGACTTAACAGCTTTTATCAGTATAGGCCTCAGATGGTATGTTCTTCCAGATCCGTCTCTATCCTTTGCATATACACGTACATACTCCTCTGTGGAAAGTACCTGAAAATTATTTCTTAGGTTGTTATTTTACTAAACGCATCATTCATGCCACGGCCACCTGATTCTTTTTACTCAACAACTAAAGGTCTTGGGCATTTTTCTGAGTTAGTGCATATTTAGATCTTTCTCCCACACGTTGACAGCCTGGCATCGGGGTGCATCATAGTTGATTAAGCATTTTCCCGATTGATGGACATGTAGATCGTTCCCTATACTTTGCTGTAACGGATGCTACTAGCCTTCTGGTATATATCTCATGTCTCTGGTGTAGATGCAGAGAAGTAAAACTGCTTTTCTCTGAGCGAAGATTTTGCTTATTTCCCTAATTCACCTTTGAGAACAGTCAGCCCTATGAAGGCAAAGGTGAAGGATGTTGACTTTTGTTCATTTCCCAAATGGGTGGCCCTAATGGAAACTTAGAAGAGGTGTGGATGAGAGAGGGGAGGGGGAGAAAGAGAGGGAGGGAGAGGGAAGAAGGGAGAGAGAGAGAGACAGGAAGAGAGGAAAAGAGAGAAGGAGAGAAGGGGCTTTCTAATAGTTTGGATCTGGCAAGTACAGTGTGTGCTATTACCTCACTTTATGGCTGAGGACACGGAGGCTGAAGGCTAAGAGCTGAGTGCATCTAAGTCCCGCGTGTGTGGCCCCCCGAGGACCCCCCGTCACAGGGCCTGGCGCGCCCTCCTGGCTCTAGACCCCAGAGCTGGCCTGGTCTCTTCCCTCCCAGTCCAGGATATCAACATCTCCCTGTGGCGCCTGCCAGAAAAGGTGAAGGTCGACAAGACTATCTTCATGAACCAGGGCGAGTGGGAGCTCCTGGCGGTGCTGACCCAGTTCCGCGAGTTCAGCATGGAAAGCAGCGGCTGTTACGCAGAGATGAAGTTCTTCGTGAGTGTCCCCGGGGGGCGGATGCGGGGGCAATGACAGCTTGAACTGCTGGGCATCCTGTCCCCGGAGACTTCAGGAGACGCGTGGGGAAGACTGTAGCCCCTTCTCGCAGCTCCAGGTCACACGCACGCGTGGGACCTTCCGGGCAGTAGATGGGGAAGCTCAGGGCAACTGTCCCTTCCTCATCCTCCGCAGCCACTGGCCTCAATCCGGAGGCCGAATGTGAGGTCTGTCCAGTTCTTCCTCTCCCAGCAGGGCCAGGCTGGAAGCTCCATGAAGCGAGGGGTCTGGGATGGGCTGGGGGGTCCTGGGTGCAGAGCCTCTGTGCCCCGGGCTTCGCCCAGAGCTCCTGTCCCGGGCCTAGGTGGTCATCCGCCGGAGGCCCCTGTTCTACACGGTCAGCCTGCTGCTGCCCAGCATCTTCCTCATGTTCATGGACATTGTGGGCTTCTACCTGCCTCCGGACAGTGGCGAGAGGGTCTCCTTTAAGATCACACTCCTCCTGGGCTACTCCGTCTTCCTGATCATCGTGTCGGACACGCTGCCGGCCACTGCCATCGGCACTCCCCTCATCGGTAAGGCACCCGCCCCAGGGGAAGAGCCAGTGTGGCCCCGGAGGGGGTGGGGCTGAAAGACCGGCCCCCTCCCACCTGCTGTGTGTGCGCCCCGACTTCCCCACGCGCACAGGTGTCTACTTCGTCGTGTGTATGGCGCTGCTGGTGGTGAGCTTGGCTGAGACCATCCTCATCGTGCGGCTGGTGCACAAGCAGGACCTGCAGCAGCCCGTGCCTGCCTGGCTGCGCCACCTGGTCCTGGACCGGGTGGCCCTGCTCCTTTGCCTCGGGGAGCAGACAGCTTCCCGACGGCCCCCAGCCACCCCCCAGGCTGCCAAGGCCGACGACTGCTCAGGTGAAGAGGGAAAGGGTGCGTCCCCTACGGAGGGCCTGGGAGTGGGGACATGGCGGGGCGTCTCTGGCTGGTGTGAGGTATGTGCCAGAGTCTGGGCGGGGCTGGGAATTGAGCCCGCCCTGCACTTGGCCTCACTGGAGGGCAGCAGAGTTCAGCCAGAGTCATCAGTGGACCCTTTCTGTACCTTCACCGCCGCTCATCAGTCTGGGGGTGGAGAGAGACCGGGTGAGAGTGAGAGGCTGAGCCTGTCAGGAGCTGAGACTTCCGGGCTTCTCTTTCTCTGAGACGGACCCAAAAGGGGGTTGAATGGGCGCCCCATCAGCAGTTTTGGGCCCCCTTACCTCACATGGCTAAGTGTATAGATTTGTAAAACTGCATCCAGTCAGCCCAGAGACGAGATCCCATCGAACACGTGTGACAGAGAGACAGGCGTGCAGGCGACATAAACGTGAAGCTCATTCTCCCTGACAAATTGTTAGAGCTACATTCGTCGCTGCTGCTGGTGGTGGTCGGGGTTTGTTCATGTATCTGTTGAGTACTTTGAGGCAGGCACGCGTGTCAGGCCAGGCCATCCACAGGCCCCCCAATAGGATTGTCATCCTCATTTGTCAAGTGAGGAAACAGAGGCGTAAGGCCAACCAGCTCACCGTAAATCACAGAGCCGAGTGCTGGTGAGGCTGGTCTGAACCCGGGCCAGGCTGACGCTCCGCTCTTACTTTTCCTTATCCCTCTTTGTCCTCCCTTCTGGCGAGAGCTAGGCTCTTACAGGAGATGCATGGTCAACCCAAGACCACCTCATCATGAACTGGGGAACGAGCACTCCAGCCTAATGCCCAATTTCACTGCTCTCCTGTGAGGTAGCCGTAGCTGCAGGTATATCTTCTGGTGCAAAGGGACTTGGGCTGGAGTCAAGGAGGAGAGGGCAGCAATGCCATATGGCACAGCAGAGACCGTCCACATAACTGAGGCCTTGGCGGCCTCGCTTTTAAACGATGCTCTAGCTGTGTGACCACAGGCTAGTCACTTAACCTCTCTGAGCTTTAGCACCTCTGTATACAAGGTCCAAAGAGTAATCACTCCCACTCTGCCTCTCACATGGGGCTATCGTGAGGCTCAAGTGAAATAATAGATACCCAATTGCTGCAGGAAGTCCAGGTGTTTAAAAAAATGCATGGGAAAAATAAATACCAAATTCATGATCTTAGTGACCTAGGGACAGGTTGGAGGATGTGACTGAGCAAGAGTATACAGGAGTCTTCAACCATGTTACTTTCTTTAATTGCTTAAGTCAGACGTTGGGAACACAAACAGGTAAGAAAACGTGTAGACTGTTTATGTCTGGAAGTCATAATAATTTCTGCAAGTGACGGGCGCAGAGGGATGGTGTCTGTACCATTCTGCCAGGCCTCCCTCCCTTGCCAATGCTCTGCCCTTTTTCCAGACATGGGGAACCACTGCAGCCATTTGGAAGGACCCCGGGACTTGGAGAAGACCGCAAGGGGCCGAGGCAGCCCCCCGCCACCACCGCGGGAGGCCTCCCTGGCAGTGCGCGGGCTCTTGCAGGAGCTGTCCTCCATCAGGCTCTTCCTGGAGAAGAGGGACGAGAGCCGAGAGGTGGCCCGGGAATGGCTGCATGTGGGCTCCGTGCTGGACAGGCTGCTCTTCCGCATCTACCTGGTGGCAGTGCTGGCCTACAGCATCACCCTGGTCACACTATGGTCCATCTGGCAGTATTCTTGAGTGGGTACAGCCCAGCGGGGGTGTTGGGCGTGGGTGTGGTAGGGAGTAAGGCACTGGTGAGAATGGGGATTGGAGGATTTCAGCGGATGCCAGGGATGTTTTCAAGGCCCTGTCCAATGCCTGTAATTCCAGACCAGGGCCTTAACGCTTCCCCCAAAGCTTGGTGTTTAGGACTCTTGCATCCCCCCCTCAACTTACCATGGCTTACAAAATGCTGTTTTCAATCCAGAAAAACCCATGCATTCCCTAACTTCATTCTATGTATCTGTGTATCAAGCCTTGATTTCCCCATTGCCCATTGTCACTTCCCTGAATAAGGCACTTTGGAATTCCGTCCTTTCCCTCAGCCTTGTTTTTAGATTCAAAGCAAACCAACTCTCTCTCACACATGGCTGATAACACTGCATTAGGCTTATTCAACCTTAATGGCTCCTTCTTCACCTCACCTGTAGCCACTTCCCTGAACACTCATGTTCTATTGGATGATGGTGGGGTGGGGCCGGGTGGGGATAATAAAATACGATGAAGCCCTAAACTCTCTTCTTAACCATTTATCAGCAGCTGGGTGGGTGGAAAAAGAAAGTTACTGGTGGAAATGAGGTAGGGATATTATATGTGGTTTCAGTTATTTGATGCTTCCTGGCCCAGGGAATTGGGAGGTGACCCAATATAGTGGCTGTTATGAAGAAGACATAATGGGAGGTGGAATTCAAGGTGGGAGGGGGAGGACCATGAACACTTAGCGATGCTCTGCTCTGTTAACCCCCAGAAAGATGCTGGAAGTGTTCTCACAGTCTTGTTACCATGCTGTGCTCATGGTCTCTCAGTGAAGCTGAGAGCGAGCTCTCTCCCGGCGAGAGGATCCTGCAGTGGAGGCCAGGACATCAGCACCACGGTCAGCACCCACTGGTCTGGTCTTTGGAGGACCGAGGAAAGCCAAGGCTTGAGTTTAACTATCTCCTTTGGGAACTCATGGCAGCCAGCCCCTGGCACATTCACCTGAGAGAGCAGGACCATGAGAAAGGCAGTCAGGAGCTTGGTCTTTGATGTCACTTTTCGTATTCTGGTCCCCTCTCCCAAACACCAGGGTTTAAGACCTGCTCAGGAGCTCTCCAACTCTATCACTCCACCACTCCATTCATCTAACAAGTGTTCTGGGGAAAGGAATGCTAGACTCCACCATGAGTGACCTTAGCATCACCATGTTCTGCCTGAAGCTTTTTCTGGTTCTCCCTTTCTCATTCCAGCCTTATCCTTCTCCCCATCTTGGGTTTCCTGTCACTCAGAGGAAAGCATGGTGGAGATGGATTAATGCTGCCAGTCTAGAGGGGAAGGACCCAAAAGGGATATCTGGGATGAATTGTTCTGGGCTGACCAATCATCAGGGCTTCAGTATGGAACACCTGAAGTTGTACCTTCTCACGACCCCAAACTGCAGTTCCAATTTGTAGACCACCCTGTGAGGCTGGATGGAGGGCAGATCTTGAGCCCTTGGGAGCTTCAAGACTGGGAGATCCTAGAGGCCGAGGAAGGGGACTCATCTGTTTTAGCTTCCGTCAGCTTCTTCATACCCCATGCTCCCAGCATGCAAAGTGAACTCATTAAATATTGTCTAACCAGCTGTTGGTTCCTAAGATGAACTAGAGTGAGGTTTCACCTGCTTTTTCCATCCCAGACATATGTGCTTTTGCTGTCAATTAGGGATTTTATATTCATCTTTGTTTTTTGATGGGTAGATAGCAGGCTTCCCCAGCAAACAGCAGAAGGCTGTGGGGCTGGAGATTGGCCCCATTCACAGCTGCTGCTTCCTGCTGAGCAGAGATTGGGCTACAGGTGGTCATTGCCCACCCCAACTCTTTCAGGATGGTTCTGGAAGCTCATACTTTGGAGCCTGGTCTTAGGACCAAAAGCTGCCCCACTCCACTGCTACTAGCAGATTCTCATGCCCCAGGCCAGAGAGAGAGAAAGGTGGACAGTCTGGCTCTGTCAATGCACCACTGGTCAGTAAGTGGGTGGCTATTGACAAAGTGTCCAACCAGAAAGCCAGTAAGACACTAATCAACCTATCGATTCCTCATCTCCCCCCTCCCCACCCTTCACCCACAATCAATGGGGCAACAGAGCCCAGCATTGAGGCAGCCAATTAACCACCTCGGGAATGAGCCGCCACGTGTAACATCTTCTGCTCCACTAGCCACAGCCAATCAACTCATCGATCTGGCGTCCAGACTGTGCCGCCCTGGGACAGGAAACTGAGGCCCGGGGCCAGAGAACCCCCCGTGTACTACCTCTCATCGATCAGTACTGATCTTGATCTTCCCCCACGGAGACCTTTGCCCTGTCTGGGATATGAGAACGCTCAGAATTTCCTTCCCACCTGTTATGTCTCCCAGAACCTGCTCCCTTCCTTCCTCCTGCTGCTTCAGCCCATTTCCTCTCATGAGAAATCCAGAGAGAGAGAACCAGAAACCACCCGTGTCTCTGTAAGTGTTTCTGAGAAGACTGCTGCTTCTCTGTCTTCTCTCTGCTCCTCTCCTGCAGCCTCCCCTCATCACCTATGATACTTCGGTCCTCACCTTCTCTTCCCACTCACCTTGCTTTCCAAACCTGTCATGTCTATACGAAGGATCCCACTGAAGGTCTCGAAGGTGCCGACCACAAACCCTTCCAGCCCTTCGTGGACTCGTGGCAGGCACTGCTCAGGCTGTGGCACCCACTGCCTCCATCCCATCTGGGATGCTGCAGCCTGGGCTCCATGACCTCAGGGGTCCCGACAGGAGTGGACCTTCCCTGGCTTCCAGGACAGTCCAGGGAGAGGAGCTGAGCTCAGCGTCAGGATCTGGGAGATTTCCCCAAGAGAACAGGAGAGGAAAAGTTGCCTGTGGGGTGGGGGGAGGGGGTGTGGAGCGAGGGAGGGAGAGCATGTGGAGAGGTGGGGTTCAGCAATACTAGCCAGATTCTCCTCCCTCCCCCACCTCCCCCTAGCCTCTGAATCAATACATTTTGAATCTAATCTAATAACAGAGATTTAACGAGGGGATAATGCGCGTGGAGCGGCCAGGCGCTTTGTCTCTTCTTTCATGCGGCAGCTGGGGCCCATTATCCGGGGACAATGCCCCATGCTAATCACTCCTCTCCTCCGAGTGTTTGGGGAGGGGTGGTGGGCAAAGAGGGCAGCTCCTCCCTGATTGGAGGGGAGTGGAGGGGCGGAAGAGGGGGGAAGAAGTCGGGACTGGTCTGGAGGGGCCCCTGACAATTGTCTTGACCTGATACGAACTCGCTGGCCCTCTCCCCCGGCGCGCATGCTGTCCACCCCGACCGCTCCGGGTCGGGAGCCCTAGCAGTGCCCGCAAACAGCAGATAATTACCTATCAGCTGCACGTCCCCGTGGCTGGGAGTTGGGTGGGTTTTTTTTCTTTTCTTTTCTCTAACTTGGTCCTCTATAATTTAAGCTCTCCCATTAATGCTTGTGATTGGCCAGCCCTGACTGTCATGGTTAGAGAATTAAGCCCTGGGTTTAGAGACCAAGAATACCCCACTCCTAAACACAGTCACATCTTCTGTCTCTTCCCTCTGAGACCTTATAAAGGTGGTTGGCCTACAGGCAGAGGTATGGAGGCTAGACTGCAGCAGGAACTTCCTGACAATCATGTTCTTGGCATGAACTAGATTAAGAGGCTGAAAGGGAAGGAGTGGAATCTCATTTTAGAGAAGGCTTGAAGGAAAGAGAGCCTTGCATCTAGGTTGGGAAGGGACAGACCAGGGAGGAAGATCTGCTTCGGTTTCCCCTGCCAGAGCTCAAGCTGGAGGGAGCCCAGAACTGGGGAAACTGCAGTGGCCACCCCCATTCCCTTCTACAACACAGTTATTGGGAGCACTGTGGGCATGAGTGGCTACCCCAGATTTGCATCTTGGCCCCATCATACGCCAGCTGTGAAACCTTGGATAAGGACTTAACTCCTCTGCCTCAATGTTCTCATCTGCGAAGTGGGGATCATATCAGCACCTGGCTCATGGGGATTGTGGGCACGTGTCTCCCAATATGGGGCAAAAGCCCAGGGAAGCCTGAGGATGGAGTCGAGAGATGTCTGCGGCCATACCGGCCCTTCCTCTGTGTGCTCACGTCACATTCTGAATGGGTGAGAACGTCCCCCAGCGAGAGCAGAGGCCTTCATCCTTCTCATCCCCGTTTCAGAGACGGGAAGGGCTAAGTGAGCTGGCCACGCATCATAAGGCCAATGGGGGCTCAACTTCCTGTTCCCACCAGGCTGCACTCAGACCTCTGTGCCCCGTCCGTTCATGTCCCCCTTTCTCCCATTACTACCCCTTGTCTCACCCTGCACATTCCCAGCTCCTTGGCCCAGAGTTCCTGCCTGAAACAGCTTGGAGCCCCTGCTCTGGGGAGGTGTGTGCATGCTGGCACAACCGGGGTGCCCTGCCCGCATCTTGGCTGCACTTCTATTCTGTTCCACTTCCTGTGTCCCTGTCTGCAAAGAGAATGACACTTTTGGCAGAGGGACGCATCATGAGGATGACAGTTGGGATTCTAGGAGCCTAAGGAGTCCCTTGCATGTGTCTGGGAGAATCACCTCCCAATCTTCCCCACCCTCACCCCCCCTAAACTTAGAAAGATCTAGCCTAAGGCCTGAAATGCGAGGTCAATCTTTTTGTCCCAGAAGAGCCGCAACCCTGTCCTTCTAAAGTCTGTCCACGAGGTGGCAGCAAAGTCCAGACGTTCTATGGAGAGGCCTGAAACCTTGCACTGTCCCCTTGGCGTCTTCCCCAGGAGCCTCTGAAGCCCTCCTCCTTCAAGGCCAGAGGGCTGGGTGCCCTGTTTTGATGCTCTGGGCAGAGGCTGTCTCCCTGGCCTCTCCCCCTGTCACACAGCTGTGTCCACGCTGATCCCTGGGCAACTGGCCCTCTTCTGTGCTGAGCGGGACTCCACACTGAGCCATGCACCTAGTTGCTCCTCTGGTTTCTGCTTCTGCAGTGAAGGTGTTGATGCGTGATGGTGCAGCAGCTGTTTTCCCCAAACCCGTGCACACTCAGGC